TGGTCGGGAAAAAGTGATGCAGGTCTTAAGACAGTTCAAACTGGTCGGGAAAAAGTCATGGGATCCTAAGACAGGTCAAATTGATCAAGAAAAAGTGATTGAGGTCTTCAGACAGATCAAATGGTCGATAAAAAATGACGGGGTCCCTAAGATGGATCAAATTGGTCTAACAAAAAAAAAAAAAAAAAAAATGAGGGTCCTAACATCGGTCAAACTGGTCGGCAAAAAAATGGTGGATGTCCTAAGACAGGCCAAACTGATTGACAAGAAATTATGAGGTTTGAAAGATAGGTCAAATTGGTCGACAAAAAATGATGGCGGTTCTAAGACAGATCAAATTGGTCGTCAAAAAAATGATGGGAATCCTAAAACAGATCAAATTGGTTAGGAAAAAGTAATGCAGGTCTTAAGACAGGTCAAAATGGGCGGGGAAAAAGTCATGGGAATCCTAAGATAGGTCACATTGATCGGGAAAAAGTGATGGAGGTCTTAAGGCAGGTCTAATGGTCGACAAAAAATTATGGGGCCTCTAAGATGGATCAAAATGGTCTACAAAAAAAATGAGGGCCCTAAGATCGGTCAAATTGATCGACAAGAAATGATGCCGATTCTAAGGCAAGTCAGATTGGTCCACAAAAAATGAGGATTCAAAGACAGCTCAAATTGTTCGACAAAAATTATGACGATTCTAAGATAGGTCAAATTATAGTCGACAAAAAATGATCCCAGTTCTAAGACAGATCAAATTGGTCAACAAAAACTGATTCCAATTCTAAGACAGGTACTTGGTAAGATTAAACTGATTTTACAAATGACATACTTTCTAAGAAAAGAGAGGGTGGGTGGGCGGGGCTAGTACCTGCTAAGATAAGAGTGATTTTGGCAAATCAGATACCCTCTAAAAAAGAGAGGGAGGGTGGGTGAGGCTAGTACTTGTTAAGATTGATTTTGACAAATGACAAAAAACGCTGTCGGTTCTAAACAGGTCAAATTGGTCGACAAAAATTATGGAGGTCTTAAGACAGGTCAAACTGGTAGAGAAAAATCATGGGGGTCTTAAGACAACTGAAATTGATCGGGAAAAAGTGATGGAGTCTTAAGGCAGGTTAAATGGTTGACAAAAAATGATGGGGCCCCTAAGATGGATCAAATTGGTCTACAAAAAAAAAAAAAAAATGAAATTCCAAAGATCGACAAAAAAATGGATGTCCTAAGGCAGGTCAAATTGATCAACAAGAATTGTTGGGGGTTCTAAGACAGCTCAAACTGATGGACCAAAAATGATGCCGATTCTAAGACAGGTCAAATTGGTCGACAATAAATAATGGGAGTCCTAAGACAGCTTAAATTGGTCCTCAAAAAAATGATGGGGGTCCTAAGACAGCTCAAATTGGTCGACAGAAAATGATGCTGATTCCACGACAGGCCAGATTAGTCGACAAAAATTATGGGGGTTTTAAGACAGGTCAGACTGGTCGATAAAAAATTAATGACAATTCTAAGACACCTTAAATTGGCCGACAAAAAATTATGGGAATTCTAAGACAGGTCAAATCGGTTAGGAAAAAATGATGCAGGTCTTAAGACAGGTCAAATTGATCGAGAAAAAATGATTGGGGTCTTCAGGCAGGTCAAATGGTTGATAAAAAATGACGGGGCCGCTAAGATGGATCAAATTGGTCTAACAAAAAAAAATGAGGGTCCTAAGATCGGTCAAATTGGTCGGCAAAAAAATGGTGGATGTCCTAAGACAGGTCAAACTGATTGACAAGAAATGATGGGGTTTGAAAGACAGGTCAAATTGGTCGACAAAAAATGATGGCGGTTCTAAAACAGATCAAATTGGTCGTCAAAAAAATTATGGGAATCCTAAAACAGATCAAATTGGTTAGGAAAAAGTAATGCAGGTCTTAAGACAGGTCAAAATGGGCGGGGAAAAAGTCATGGGAATCCTAAGATAGGTCACATTGATCGGGAAAAAGTGATGGAGGTCTTAAGGCAGATCTGATGGTCGACAAAAAGTGATGGGGCCCCTAAGATGGATCAAAATGGTCTACAAAAGAAATGATGCCGATTCTAAGACAAGTCAAATTGGTAAGAAAAAGTGATGGGGGTCCTAGGACAGGTCAAATTGGTCGGAAAAAAGTCATGGGGGCTCCAAAACAGGTCAAATTGATCAGGAAAAAATGATGGAGCTCTTAAGACAGATTAAATTGGTCTGAAAAAAGTCATGGAGATCCTAAGACAAGTCTAATTCTGGTTCTAAAATAGGTCAAATCGGTTGACAAAAAATGAAGAAAAAAATTTGACGTCATCAAATTGTTAGTGGGGATGACAAGATAAATTCTGGTTAGCGTTTCACCACCTACATGATCTTAAAATACATGTAAAATTTTACAACACTCTGTCTAGTAATTTCAATTATCTATCTAATAAAATCGCCAACAAACCACAGACAGGCGACAAATGGAAACGGTGACCTATATTTCATAGTCTAGCTTACGTTCGGTAAATAAAAATTATATTTTTTTAATGATGAAGAAATTATATTTATCATTAAGATAACATAAATGTTTAAAAAGTGAATAAAAAACCTGCGTTGCATCGTTTGTGCTTAAAAAATGAGGGAAGTTTAATGTAAATGACGTTTGTATTATATTGTAGCTTTAACGTGTTGCATAACTTTATGATAGTTCCTTGAATTAGAAGATTTATAGTATCTTAATCCTTCTACTCAGAGAGCAATAAAAAACACGATCAAAGATAACCATGGACTCGTGACAATTGTCTTTGATCAAAAACAAACTATCAAAAATCCATGGTTGTTTTTGATCGTGTTTTTTATTGCTCTTTCGGTGATCAAGATTAAAAATTTGTAATACCTATACGTAGAATTGAAAAAATACGAACATAAAGTGTGTTATTTAATTTTCGCTAATACGAAATGTGACCATTTTTTGAGATCCATGATTGATGGAATCCAAGCCGTACATCAAAAGTTCTGTTTTTGTTTGTGCAACAACGAAATGTTTGTATGGACATATCTAAGTATTCCATAAAAGTGTGTACTATAAATATTTGTACAACTGTCTGAAAAACTTTTTTATGTCAATATTTGTTCGTTGTGTACCAAAGTACCATTTCTCACATTAGTACCACAAATAACTAATTTTATCTTGTTTTGGCTTTTCTGTAGTTCAGGTTCAACTATTTTTAACATTTATATGAGCCTCACAAATTTATAAGTATATTATAAATTCAAGAAGAAATTTATGGCATGCGATCCTAAAATTGAATTAACCATAGTAGTTCAAAGAAACATTGCTCTGTGCTGACGTAAATGGTTTTACGTTTCATAAAGACTCTTCAACTGAAGATATTTTGGATGCCTGAAAACTAATGGTGATCACACACATTTTTACACCGTTTTATTAAAAAAACAAAGAGTTCTTTATCGTCATTAAACAAACAATAAAATAGGTTTTTGGTTCAAATATTTGCAATCATGTAAGTGAATTTAAAATTTAATGTCATAATGGTATTTTTAATTTGGTGCGATAGCGTCATGCAAGGCTCGTTAGTTTCGCATCGATTTTATTTTAATGCAAGATTGTCACCTTTGATAACGTCATAATTTAAACGATTTGATGTACGTATAACGTAATCCTCCGGATAATCGGTGAGATTTGTAAGTGATTGTATGTTAAATCATAATTAGTTTCGCAATTTGTTAATTCAGGTAACAATTTGTAATTGGTTTTTTATTGTTCGTCACAATTGGGAAATCTAAGTAATTTGCGTTCATCTAGTGATAACTAGTATACTCATATAGATCTGAAGTACATTTATTTAATTTGCAATAGTATGCATACATTTGCAAATTAATTTCCTTTGAGTTTAATTAATACCACTGATAGTGATGCAAATGTAGCTAAGAGTGAAATTAGTTAAATAATTTTTGTAGTTTTTAATTAGAAAAATTGACCTCTACAACGTGATTCACTTTAAATAATACAAATTAGTATTAATCTCACTAATGGACTCTCATTTGAAAATAATTCGCGTCGTGGGATATAGTTTTTCTAGAATTTGTAAGAGAAGGTTAATGGATCACTTTTCCGGTAGTTAATCATTTTTTAATGCAAATTTGACAAACCGGAATCACATTTTCCTCAAACCAAGAAACTGCATTACGTACGTAGTTTAAAATATCTCTGTCAAATCCATCACTGTAAATGATCGGAATGACGTTTGCCTCAGCAGATGATTGATTTGGTTTAACTTTGTTTGAAGAAAGACAACTCGGTTCAACGCCATTAGATATGGCAAAAAATCAATTAGTCTCTAAAGATAAAATGTAGTATATATTTTGTTTGTTTGTTTAAAGTGCCAAGGTTTTTTCTTGACATTGATGCAAATCAGGCTCTTTTATCATATGCGGAATGGATTCTACCAATGATATTAACAACGTTTTGTAGGCGTTTATAGTTTATGCTGTTTTTGATATAAAACAACAAATTGTTTACTTGCGGTTATAATTTATTAAGACGTTGCTAAATATGAAGGTTCTGCTTTATTTTCCTGATTGTGCGTCACCACTTCAAATATTGAATCATTTACACAAACGTCACATAAAAATTTAACTCTAGACATCTGTTTGTGTGCAGAACATTTTGTTATGTTTTAGTTAAAAATTAAAACTTATTGAAAACTTTGTTCTCTGAAACTTGTAAATTCTGCCGGTGTTATTTTTTCGTAATAAATGGAATGGAATGAAATCAATCATTTTATTATTGTTTTAATGAACTCTGACGTTAGGTGGTTTTTAGGTCACGTTATCTCTGGACGTGCAATAGTTAATAATTTATTATATTTTTCCAATATTACATATCAACTATCATTATAACCTTGTGGTCTGATTTTCTCTTCGTGGCAAAATGACATACCCAAATAAAATAAATTTAATTAAACCCAGTTTATTGACACCTTGTTTTTTTCAGTTGTGTACTGTGATTACGCAGCTTCTGGAAGATCGCTTCAATTTATAGAAGAATATATCACACGCGAAGTTCTTCCAAGTTATGGGAATACACATTCAACAACTAGCATAACGTCACTCCAATCAACAAATTTCAGGTGAGTTGAGCTTTTTTTCATTCAGGATAAACTTCGGTGTTAAATGGGGCGTGCGCATTCTGAGATCCGCCTGAACAATTCTAAATGAGGCTAAATTTGAAACAAAGAATCGATTGTTAATCTAAAATGAGGATGAAAAACAACTTGCCAACAAATTCCGACTTATTTTGTCAACAAAGTTGTGACAATACAAAAGCTTGAGCTTTTTACTCTCTATTTTCGTTTTATTATCGTGGCCTTATTTTCAATTTTCGAAAAAAAAAATGATTTGTGAACAATTCATAGAATACAAAAAGCCAGGTTAACGTTTGTCTATCTTTGAAAAAAGTGAACCTCATTATCGTATTACGCCATCTTAAAATATTCGACTGAAGTATAAATCTCGCGTCGTAACATCATAGGTTTAAAAATCCTTAGTTTTAACTTTACGCATGAGTATCCTAAAAATAACTTAGGACCATTAAATTTTACTATTTATGTAAGAGAATAAATTACGACGTTTTTAGAAGTTTTGGCAGGACCATGACATTGATTTAAGGATTACAGAATATGAACTTAAATTTATCTATTTTTTATCACTTCAAGAGAATTGGTGATGTTATCTAAAAAAATAAACAAATATTTATCAAAAAGTACACTTTGAGGTACAATGTTGCTTGCGCTTCAACGTATGGTTTTGTTTTTTTTTTTTAACTTAAAAATGCTGCGTGAGAAAATGTTTAGGAATTGTATCCCATTAAAAAATTAATGACCTCGTTAAAAAAATGTAAATTTTTATTATTAGAGAACTTTGGGATTGTATTGTTTGAAATGCAGTAAAAAATTAAATATCGTCATCCGCCCATTTTAGCGAATGTGTGATTTCATGTTCCTGGGGTTTCGCGGTAGGTACGTAGTATGTCCATTCTCTTTAAACAGACAGTGTTATTATGCAAAAAATTAATATATAACCGACCGTGTTAAGTATTTTTTTTAAATGTGGAAGAATTTTGGACTTCCTATTTTTTTTTGGAATTCGGAACAATCTTGGAGTCTCCTAGTGTCTTTTTTATAAGAATGAAAGAATCCTGGTGTCCTTTTTTTAATGTGAAAGAATCTTGGGATCCCTAGTGTTTTTGTCTTTTACTCTAAGAATGCGAAATAATCTCGAAGGCTTATAGTGCTTTTTTTATAAGAATCTTGAGGACTGTAGTAGCTTTTTTAAAGAACGTGAAAGAATTTTGGGGCCTCCAAGTGTCGTTTTTTATACGTGAAAAAATTGGGGTCCCTAGAATCTTTTTTTAATGTGAAAGAATCTTGGGAGTCCCTACTGTCTTTTACTTCAAAAGTGCGTAATCATCTAGGGGGATCCTAGAGTCTTTTTATAAGAACTAAATAATCTTAAATGCTGCTATAGTGTCTTTTTTTTAAAGACTGTGAAAAAATCTTGGGGCCCCCATGGTGTATTTTTTTAAACATGAAAGGATCTCTACCCCCCTCGTGTCTTTTCTTTAATACTCTCGGAGTTCCTACTATTTTTTTTTTTTTTTATAAGAATGAAAGAATCTTGAGGACCCCTAGTGCTTTTTTTTTAAGAATGTGAAATAATCTCTGGTTCCTCTAGTGTATTTTTTCTAATGTGTAGTGTGTATACGGTGTTGTATGTCAAACGAATCAAAACTACTACCTGTATCGGGAACTAAGTATATAATTAATACTGACCTTATTTTGTAGATTCTCCCCTAGTATGAAGTACCCTGAATGAATTCATTCATCATCACTGAAAGATGCCATATCTTTTGTAATTTAGTAACAGGTTTTCCTTTGCTTGACTGGCGTACACAGGGTGTCTAATGATTTATTACCATGGAGGTGCAGCAAGGTTCATCACTTCAAGTTTAACATTGAGCACACTGTACTTAAAAAATTCACGGGGGCGTACTAATACAGAACTTTTACTTTCCATTTTCTATATTCAGATTGCAAAACGCGAAAGTAATTGAATCGCGTCAAGAATAATTTTTGAAAATACCTCAATTAATTACATAACATTTTAAGAAGCGATTAATTGTGTTGTTAAAGCAATGCAGGGTTTTTCCACGGTCTGCGTTTATTGAGATTATACATGCTGCAGGTTATTACATTAAAATGTAATTATAGATCTGTATAATTAAATGGAAAAAAACAATTTAAAGTCATTGATATGTTTATGTATTATTGTTCTTTTGTGGTCTGCCGTTCAGAGTGACTGCATTATGTGTCATTTTAATTTTTTAAGAAAAATCAATGTGTGTGAAGTTTTTTTTAAGTATGCCGACAAACAGTTAATAAATAAGCAGAGTACATATTCACATGGTATCTCAAAGGATTTTTTGTCACTACACTGCTTCGTCCTTGTCTGTGGATCATTTGATCATAATTAAGTCTGCTCTGGATTAATCCGTGACAGATTTCGAAGAACAATGATATTAGATTAACAACATTTTCTTAGACTTAGATGGTTTTCAAATAATTAATATAATAATCTATAGCTACTTCATAAGTAATAACTTTAAGTCTACTGTTTTAGGTTCACAAACCGATATTTGCAATTGATTTAAATTTTCATTGTTCTAGACCCAATATATAATGTTCAGTTTTTATAGAATGAGAATAAAGTGGTTATCATACTAAATTAAAATCCACAAATATCCGCTTATCACCGAAATAAATTAGATGTGAATGTTCTTTTTTTATTTTCGATAATGTTAAACACCGATGTCACAATCATAGAATAATTTAATCTACATCTTGATCCCATTAGTTAACAATGCTATCAACAGATGTGACAAGATCGTCATTGTGATATCCTGAAAATAAAAAATGTATTCACCTTTCTGTCATTTAATTTGACTTTAATTCGACAATAGTAACATCTGCATCATTGTTTGATAAAGTGTTAATTTTAAACTGATCGATCGATCTAAAAAACCGTTGCATGGAGTATCTATTACTGTTGTTAACGCGATGCATCTGCACTTGGCCCATCAGTGTGATTACAGGGAGGATATCCTGATCACATTATTCACTTAACGTAATCAAATTGTGTCAGTATATTATTCGCGGATGTAATCATTAACGTATATTAAACTCAAGTAATCATATTTCGTGAAGAATAATATAATTTAATTTACTTATTATTCTTGTCATGAACTTCTAGACTTGCGAAGATTTCATTCATGAAGATATAGTAAGTATCATCAAAAATAGCTACCCTGATCCAGAATGCAGTAAAACATGCGTCGCTGCTCCAGAATGCAGTTGAACATTCGTCATAGAACTTGAATGCTGCTGTGATTTAATTGCAGTCGCATTGTACGGAAATTTTATGCAGAATTTCAAGATAAGGCATTCGTTTAAGCGATATTGCGCATATCAAACCATCCGAATGTGATCCATAAATTCTCGTAATGAATAATACCCGTCGGGTGGTCTTCAATTTCAGCGGAAAGTTTTGCTAACCAAATTATGGAATACATCTTTTTTTATTTTTCAGACAAGAGGCTAGAGATATCATTAAGAATGCAGTGAACGCTTCTGAAGCTGATGCCGTCATCTTCACCGGCCATGGTTGCACGGATGCCCTCCAAAAATTAATCAGTGCGTTGGATTTGCGGGAACCTCCTATAGTTTTCACCGGTTCCAGCGAACATCACGATAATCTTCACTTATGGCAAGAAATTGGCGCAAAGGTTAGTAGCTAGTTTAATTTTGCGAATTCCGTTGACCGGTTCCTTCCACTATAATTTATTTTATTTGCGTTCGACGCTTGGTGGTTTGCCAAATTACATTCAACAACGTTGTAAGTGCAAAATTATTGACTTGTTTTGTAATTTTGTGTCGTATATGTTCCTAATTGTTTTTCTTTCCGTAGATGATCAGGATCGCGGAGACCAAGGAAGGTTATTTGGATTTGGACGATTTGGAGAACCAGCTACGGTTTCACCAAAGCTACGGAAGACAAATGATTGGATGTTTTTCGGTTGCGTCGAATGTCACTGGTATTGTAATTGATGATATTGCCTGTACTATTCTACTCCATCAGTACCAAGCACTTGCGTTTTGGGATTATAATATAGCTGCTCCTTGTATTACAATAGACATGAATCCTCTTGTACCTGGCGTCGAAGAAAACTCGGCTAATAAAGACGCCATTTATTTCTCTGGACACAAGTTTATTGGTGGTGTCCAAACACCTGGTAAATTTATTGAACATCACTTGCGAAGCGTGACTAATACTGAACGTTTGCAGGAATTTTAATTGCCAAAAAAGCTATATTTAGACGTCTGAATTCGTGCGATACGGACGGATTTTTCACATCTCAGGAATACAATAAAGTATACAGAATACGGATTAATTAACGTTTTCTAACTCCACGATTTTAGAGCTTTGAGATGCAGGAGGAGGGCAGCTGTGCAGCTGTAGTCGAATCAATCAGGGCCGGACTAGTGATGCAATTAAAAGAAACTGTAGCCGTTGCCAACATATTGCAGAGACAAGAGAAGATTAACAAGTATGTAAATAATTTTTACACCATATTCGTGTCAATGCTACTGTTCTGTGGGATTCGATTTTTCCTAAGACTCCCATAAATCAGACGTCTTTATTTACCCGATAATAGTGTCACGGACGCATTGTTTATTTAAATTCTTCTTGCAGACAAATGCTGCAGCACATTCGCACTATCCCTGAAATTATTTTATTGGGAAACAACTCTCCAAATTTGAGAAGACTTCCGGTCTTTTCCTTCATGGTGAGGCATCCGAGGGGCACCTTTTTGCATCATAATTTTGTGTGTGCCGTCCTCAACGACGTGTTCGGTATTCAAGCCAGAGCTGGATGTCCATGTTCCGGAGCGTACGCCCAGGACCTTCTAGGAATTGACCCATGTCTTGCGGACCAATACGAGAACATTATCTTAGAAGACAGGAGACTGAGTAGTTTGGATCTTGAAGTCGATAATTCGCATTTAGAATTACTAAGGCCTGGTTTTACAAGAATAAGTCTTCCATATTTCATAAACGACGCCGAGCTAGCTTTTATCATGGAAGCTGTTAAGATGGTGGCTACCGAAGGTTGGAAGTTATTGCCTCAGTATGTTGTTGAATTAGAATCTGGGCAGTGGCGTCATCACACTAACGCGATGATGAAGGATAGGAAGTGGTTGTCGTCGATAAGATACGTCGACGGTAAAATGACTATGAACGAACGAAGAATTTCTGGCCCGGGTTTGTTCCCGCAGAGCTATCAAGAGTGTTTGCAGACCGCAAGGAATGTGTTTAACAGAGCGAGAAAAACTGCAAACAGGCATCCTTATACCGATCAAGGGATTACGTTTGACGCACGAGGGGAGAAACTTAGGTGGTTCATGTTGCAGCACGAAGCTCAGAATATTTTGACGAGCAATGCACAAAACATTAAACAGAAAGTTCCTTTTGACCCCATTAGTTACGCAGGCTCTAAAAGAACAGAATGTCATAAAGAACGTGAACAGACGCCAAATAATCCTCCCGTGTCGAATTCAGGCTCACCTAGACACTTTAGTCTGCCTTCAATCGACGATCCAAGAATTCTGACATGTTCGTCTCCAGTTCCTTACTTTCTACAAGATGTTAACGGATTATATTATCCCCAGTTGAGTCAACCTACGGTGAACTTTGCCGTTGGTGAGACTGTGAATTCTGCTAATTTGAACCATTTACAACAGAACTTTGCCAGAGAGCGTTGTTTAAGTTTAGGTGCTCCAAATATGTCTCCGCCCGTTTTAAGTCCACAAACTAGAGTTAGCTTAGGAATGCGTCAATTTAGACAAAGAAATTTCAGTTATAGTAGTCAAAATGAATTACATTCCTTGGAATCCGACGCCAATGTTTCGCCGACTCACAGCTTAAACGTTTTGTCGTCTGGTAGTTACGAAAGTAATCAAGTGGGGAGATCATCCCCCGCCCCGGACATTCAAACATACGTTACAGAAATGACCAAAGAACTTGCCACTAATATCAAGTCTGAAATAAGAGAAGTCATATCTAAAGTAGAAGACGTTTTGGAAAATACCGACAGTATTGATATGAGTTGTAGGTCTTATTGTTACGAGAAACATGGAAGTGGGAGCGAAGATGGTAGAAGCGATTCAATATCAGCTAACGAAGTGGCCGAATATATCGAAAAGGTGTCAATAGAGATGGCTAATGAAGTAAAATCAGAAATCCGAGACGTTGTTAGTGCCGTCGATGTCTTCATTACTCCAGATAATCAAGAGAAACATACATACTCGAGAACTTCTAGCTCAAGCGATGACAAAAATAGCACTGAACTAACAAAGAACGAAATCTACACTCCAGGTTCCAGTAGCGAAACGGTTATCCATTTAATCAAGAAAACGACCAGTGCCAATAGACTAAGCGACGAAGAGACTCAAGCAAATGAACAACAATACAAAAACAAAATCTTAACGTCTACTGTAGCTAGCGTTAGTTCGCAAGATAGCGGAATTAATCTGTCATTCCACGACCAAGAATATTTTACCAGCGAATTTGCCAAGACTAGAAGCAACTCGGAATCCTTGACTAATCGCAAATCTGAAACGGACGAAGTGAAATTTTCCACGTTACAAAAACAAAAACAGAAATACACGAGGACGACTAGCGACAGCGGTGCTCTAGAAGCAGCGGCGTCAAAATGGATGTGTTCCCCTAAAACAATTTGGCAGCCTACTGTAGAAGCCATTCAAGAGTTCGAAATGATTAAAGATGGTGATAACGTGATGGTGTGTTTGTCCGGTGGAAAGGATTCGTTAAGTTTATTACATACTCTCTTACAATTCCAAAGTTACGCGCAGAACAAAGGAATCCTGTTTAGTTTAGGAGCTGTTACCGTGGACCCGGACTCTTCAGGATGCGATCCTTGCATACTCATTCCTCATTTACGAAGTTTAGGCGTACATTATATTATCGACGACAAGAAGAGCGACCCTGGAGATGAATCAGGTTAGTTAAAATTAAGCGATTTGGAAAATGTACAGTTCTAACGCACATGTTTATTTAGAACAACGCGAAGAAGCCAAAGAAAATCTTTATAGCTTTCGCACGTCAAGTTTACGGCGTCGTTTGTATTCATCGGCCAAAAGTTCAGGATATAATGTTTTGGCCATCGCCCAACATTTGGATGATCTCTGCGAAAACTTCTTCCTTTCTGTGTTCCACACCGGAAGATTGAGGACCATGAGGGCTCACTACTACATTAAGTACGTTTCGCGTTTCGAACATTCCTAATGTGCTAACTTTTCTCATTTTTAGGGAATACAAGCTAAGAGTTATAAGACCGTTTGTGTACGTCCGTGAAAAATATCTGCGTCAGTTTGTCAGCAACCAGAACTTGCCAGTCTCTAGCAACATTATTAGCCCGGATCTAACCAAGGAGCGGCAAAGAATCAAGCAAGTGCTCACTCAGCAAGAAATTCTCTTTCCGAAATTGTTCACGAGTCTTCGTTCCGCTTTACATCCACTGATAGGCTTCCAAATAAAAGAATGCGAGGTTAAATATAGGCGGAGATTGAAGTCAAAGGATAATGATGATTGCTCTGAAAATGAGACTGATGAGGAACCGGTTGTTTCGGGGGACTCAACTTGCTAATTTAGTTTCTGTTCAGTTCCACGATTTTTCAAACTATTATTTCTTGGTGTTTTACAGATTTACGCTAATGTCTATTATGTTCGTTGACAACAAAAGGCAGTTATGGATGAGTAGCGCGAAAAGATTGCCAGTGAAATTCTTGATCTGTTACTTACACAAATGTTACGTCTGAACGAGGTTGATTTACTGTTTTTAAACCGTCCATACGATGTTTCGAACTTTTACAAGAGAGAAGTAATCTCTTATTTACAAACTGGATATTTAAAACTGTGAAACAGTTTTAAACGTTATAGCAACGCGTACTTATACTTTATTCAATCAAACCTAAAGATACAGGGTAGTAATTTTCCTAATGATGTCGGTACTAAAAATGTTTGAAACGTAAAAGTTTAATTGCTGCAATACAAAGCAAAAACAAAAGTAGTCGTGTTGTTTTGTATAATTGTGACTTCCTTGATTTTCGATTGGACTAAGTTCGAAATTTTATCCAGAAAAGGTCACAATTGAAGAGGGTACGACACATTTGGGTTTAATTTTAATGAATACGTCCTAGCACAACTATTTATGTTTGTCTGTAAGAATCTCATGACGTTACCTACTTGAAATCGAGATTAGGTCCAGAAATTTTTTATTCAGTCGGTTTGACAGTGGACGGCTTACAAACTGTAGACACATTTTCATTATTAATGACTTTAAATTTTGTACAATTTTTTTGTATTGTGATGAAAGGGGTCTTAAAAGTCGTTCAAGGTAGACTTCACAACGGTTGATTTTTCAACTCAAGATTTTTAAGACCTTATTAAATTTTTTTCCAGTGTGATTGGAAAAAAGATGATATTAATGACTGAGTTAATTTTTATATTGTATTTAATTTCTACTTAATGTTAAATGCATTTTTTAGTTACGTATGACTTTTCGCAGTTTGTGTATAGTGTTACTTTGGTATGGATTGTGCATATTGACATTTTAATAATTATAAGTTTCCTTTAGGGAGTGTGATTTGAAAGTATATAATTGTTGCATTCGGATTTAAGATATTTAATAATGTTAACATGAGTGAAATGTATTTTATTTCCTAAAACTGTAATAAAATATGTAAAATTCATACATGCTGCAGTATCTTACTCAAACCAACATCGCTACTTAAAAAGCGCATTTAATAGATATACCACTAGAAGCGTCGATGACACGCATAAACAATCCTACATTGTTAAAAAAAAAAAATAATAATAAAAATTACATAAATAAAAAATAAGGAACTCGTGATGATTATTCATTGCTTTGTCCACTATCTCCGGCGCAGCCACAGTCTGAAAAAGAAAAACGTAAGTCCATAGTACTTGTAAATCTATAAGAAGTACTTTTTCCGTCAGCAGAGCATTTGCAGTCGTCACCACATTTGCAGTCCTTTCCACAGCCGGACTGACCATCCGAGCAAGTGTCTGAAAAAGAAACAAATTTCGGTTTGATTTACTCTAACGACTTCGATGATCGATCGACATTCCAATGCACAAAAACTTGATTAATGATTGTATGAATAATTTATGGTTCGGCGCGAACCGGAGCACAATGTTGAAAAAACTCTTAAATACACAAAATCTATTAACAACAGGACAACTTTCTAACATCCAGAGTGACTTCTTGAGTGTCAAGTTAACAAAAAACAGCAGAGTCGCAACTGCCGAGACCTTGATACCTGAGCGGTGTTAGCAAAAAGTGTTAAATCTATTCTTACAGATCCAGAAGAATTCGTCACCCGTTGTTACGCAAGTACTTGGAAATGCCTCAAATCACTGTCCTATAGAGTTTTTGAGGGAGCGATTTTACTATTTGATCAATATTTTGCTTATATTTAAGTATATCGCTACACTAATTTAATTAATTTCCTTAAAATTGGTCAAATTAACGAACCAAGAGATCCGGTACAATCAACAAGTTTCCGTTATGGTTTGTTCCGAGTATTGATTTCCTTGGCACCGCTGCAGATTCGCACGAACCGTGAATTAATGTAAATAAAGGAACAACTTACCTTTGCAGGAGTCACAGGGAGAAGGCATCTTCAGAGCAAAGTTTGGGCACAACTACGATGATATTTCTTAGCACGAATTGCGAAAACAGAAGGACGCTCTCTGGATGCCGGTATTTATAATCTGAAGCGGGCTGACCCCACGATCGAACATTGCTCTGTATGGTCTGGAGGGGATGAGCAATGCGAACAAATTTTAATTTCAAGAAATTTTTTAGAATAATTTTTTGCAATAAGTGGAGTGTAGGATTCTCAGCTACTTGTCGCTGTTTACTATTTAACGCTTTTTTACTCTGACATACTAAATAGTAGCAGTAATTACAAACAAGGTTATTAACAATACGATGTGTAATTTTTGGGAATGGACACACTTTCGTGACTATCAATTTGTAGTGGGTGTTCCTCAGCGAAAATAGAGTATGAATTTGTAAATAATGTTTGAGGTATTAGAAGATTAGTAGGGACGCAATACTTGCATATCTTTTAGTTCACCGACCTTGTTGTGGGCCATGTCTAACATCATGCTTCAGTTAGATCTAACAATTACGAAAGAATTGCAAGAATCGTACGACAACTGGATGTCTTGTCTCGAATCGTGTAAAGCTTATTACGGCGTTATAAACCAATTAAAAGAAAAGCGGTTGTGATGACTAATCTTGGAATTTTGGTCTAAACCGTCTTTCTTCTAGCCACATTTCGTTTTATAGAAAGCACAAGACTAAAGAATTAATCAAGCGTTCAATCTGCAGCAAATACTTTTCATGGAAGTCACGCCAATTACTGAGAAGATAAAGGAAATAAATTTAATTAACCGTAATGGTATTTAATAAGCAGTTGTAAGTTCTTGCACTTGACCCTGCATTTAAAATGGTACTGCCGTAGAATTAAAATTGATAAAATTTGGTGCGTGGGAAGGAAAATTAACAGAAGTCAACCAATTCCGCGTCTTTCGGGTCTCGTAATTTGCATATATGCCACAACTTAATATCCCGAAAAAAAGTGGCGGGCTTCGAACGCCGGCACCAGATTATGATTAATTCTGTGAATTTTTACGGTCGAATGCGTTTCTGCCATTCATAGATACTACATTTTGCCTATCTTCCTTTCTAATAAAGCGGTTATCTACCATTTTTCTCCCGAGATCAAGGACACTACGCTCGACAGATTCTATTAAATATGCTCAAAGAGAATCTTTAGCAGGCACAATTAATATTCCCGGGGCAGTACCGGAGCTAAATAGGAATGGAATGATCGTATCTGTAGATAATATTTCATTGTATCGACATTTCCGTTTTCTTTGGCGTTTCCGGGGGGCAACGTATCTAGTAGCAAAAATTTCACACAGCGATTATTATCAACACTCAATTAAAGCAAAATCCTTTTATTTGAAAAAGTAGGATTAACATTTGCATTTGCATTCGCATTTGTATTTAACCCCATTCTCGGTTTGGATTTTTTGCGCCGTTTCAGGAGTGCAGTTGCAGTCGCAAGTGCAGTTTTTGCAGGAATCACCGCATTCACAAGTGCAGACGCATTCACATTGGAATTCTCCTTCGGAAGTTCGTAGGATGCATTTCTTGGTGAATGTGCAAGTACCATCCGCGTTCCTTACACAGTCACCTGTGTCTGGAAGAAAAAACGTTAGATTGAATAAAGTCATATTTTGGTGTTAACTTACCACCTTTGCAGCATGGGTTACTTTCCATCGTTGGAGTAATAAATTGTTGATGTGGGTAAATAAATTGTGCTCGCTTGTCACTAGGAAGTGGACTGCATAATGTGCTGCCTAGTTTCATTTTTATAGGAATGGGTTTGTCGGCCCACGGCACTACACAGATGCTGTACCGGCGTTTGACTGTAGTGCCGAGTGCAAGTCGACGGTTAAGCATGGTCAACTAATTGAACTAATTAATTTTACCTCCGACTACAATTGCAAACAATTATTTAAACTGTTTTATACTTTTTTCTGTATTTACAGGGATTGGAAAACAAACTTATGATTTAAAAAAATATATATCTAGAAGCTATTTAAAATCTGTAATTTTCAAACTAGACCAGCTTCAAGCTATAATTTAACATGAAAAATGTCATTCAAATCGTTTTACATATTTTAATGTTTTAATATAAAAGAACTTTTCTTCGTACAATTATTCAATAAAATATACATAGCAGCTGCCCACCAAAAAAATGTCTATTATTTCACCTTGTCTACATACATATAACAAAAATATAATTTTATTAGTAAATAATGTTTTTATTAAAAAAAAAAATATGTTACATGATTTTTTAACCGTATGTACATTGTACACATATTTTCAAAAGTGTGCGCTCTTACTTTCAAGTTGCGTGCCGTGTGCAACTGTGGGACATTCTTCGTTTTGTGTGTGGATTTCTCTTACTCAAAAAATTATTGTTTATGACATATGCGTGTGCGTGTATAGATAAAGTGGTAAAAAGTAGATAACAGAGGTTACTAAATTATTTTATAGTAGCAATACTTTTCGATAACAATACCAAATAAACACTCCCCAGTCCGCCAACACACAACACTGAAAAATTTAATATTTCAGGTTTGATTCTTTACCTGTCGATATAGTTCATGCAGAAGTGTGTATAGACGTCAATTCTGTATGTACACAAAAATAAAAAAATTAAGAAATTTATAGAAGAATTTGTCGGAATACTACTTAATTAAAACACGTATTAAAAATAATAATGCGGTTTATTCGTTGAGGCTAACAAGGGGATGATGTTTGTCACTTCAGCGATAAAAACACAGTGCTCCCGGCTCCAGTACTTCCAGTCCCGTGTCCCATGTTCCCATTTCCGACCCAATACGAACTCGTCCGAGCCATAGCGGTATTTTCATCCCTAATTCCGCTAACACGGCCTTTCCTGACGAACGAGTGTCCCACTCGGTTGGAAACTGGGAGAGTACCTGGAATTTCAATTACTCAGAAAAACATCGCACTGATTATATGTAACATTAATTTATAATTTTCAAAACTGAGCGTCTCAGGTACTGCGCCTTGGTAGTTTAACCTGTAAATAATAATGTGAGTTTGGCCAAACCGCATTAATAAGCTTAAAGTAACTTAACTAACCATGGTTATTTTAACATTAACAACACGCGCTTCCAGTACGTTCCAGCACCCATACCCGTACAAGCCACAGGCCATATGCGCTACCGGTCCAGGCTTCCGCAAGACCAGCACATTACGTGCCCATGCAAGCTCTGGGACCTAGCTACATATTAACCGGTTATGCGCTACCGGTCCAGGCTTCCGCAAGACCAGCACATGGCGTGCCCATGCAAGCTCTGGGACCTAGCTACAAAAACCGCCCCTGCGCTACCGGTCCAGGCTTCCGCAAGACCAGCACATTATGTGCCCATGCAAGCTCTGTGACCTAGCTACAAGGTACCCGGCCAGGCTTCCGTACGTCCGGTAAGACCAGTGCCCGTACCAGCGCAACATACGTTACCTACGTCGAGTAGCTAACCCAGGGTTTAATATTTTCCAAACCCGCCACTCCGACGTATTTTTTCTGACTCCGAATTGCCCCAGGGATGTCGCTAATCTCGAACCGGTCATGGTCCAGTAATTTGGTCACTCGAAATGGACCCCTCCACTTGGGCATCAGTTTCTGGCTTGATCCTGTGACTGGATTACACTGGACCTTCGTCATTACCAGGTCACCGACCTGATACAAATGACCTTTTCTTCTCCTTGCGTCAAACCGTTCTTTTTGTTTTCGCTGATCTTCGGCGATGCGGGTAATAATTTCCTCTCGGACCTTTGTAACATCAACTGGATCGGCCGCAGCATTCACAACCCTGTTGGGTCTGACGCGGAAACCCATTAACGCCTCGCTTGGTGTTACTCCCAACGCAGAATTAACGCTCCCATTCAGACCCAACTGAATATTCGCCACATTTTGATCCCATTGATCGTCATCCACTTGTGCACCCATTGTTGCCATGGATTCGAGGATTGTGCGATGGTACCTCTCCACCTGTCCATTTCCTCTAGGCATGGCCGTCGCATTTAGATGCTGGATGATCCCCTTTTCATTACAAAACTGTGTAAATGACTGACTGGTGAAAGCGGTACCTCGGTCACTGATTAGTCTGTGAGGTACTCCAAAAATCTTTACAACTTCCTGAAACACCTTGAGTAAGTAACGGCTCTGAGTACTTTTTACAGGATAAACGAGAATAAATTTGGTAAATGCATCAATTATTGTAATAACATATGTATTACCAGATTTGGTTTTAATAAAAGGGCCCAAGTGATCGGCATGTACTGTATGAAAAGGAATGGGTAATTTGGGGATAGGGTGAAGAAAACCCTGTTTCTTACCAGTCGGACTTTTAAGGAAGACGCAATCGAGGCAGTTTCTTACATATTTCTTAATAAAGCGTCGCATATCGTTAAACCAGTAAGTGCGCTTTATTAGTTCGTACGTTTTTTCAAAACCCAGGTGACCGATATCATCATGATGAAGTCTTAATAATTGGAATTTGATTGTTTTTTGTGGATATTTTTATCGGACTGCTGTGCGGCGAGTAACCAGTCATCTTCCGCCATTGTCACCAAGCAAATACTCTTTTCAACCGCCAAATTACGGCTGAGTGCATCAACATGTCGCATATTTTGATTTTTATTTCAAATTGGTACTCGCTTATTGCAATAATCCACTTACCGATGCGATTATTTAATTCATTTTTAAGGAATGCGTGTCGTACTGCAGCACAATCAGTTATGATGGTGAAGTTAATGCCCAGTAACTAATGTCTCAATAATTCGGTAAAATTTTGACCTATTAACACATCAACTCCCTGAACACATTTGTCTACCACTAATAATTCAAGATTGTTCCTGATACCATCGAGAATTACGTCAACATGTACTGATTGGGTGATTTGGATGCGAATATCACCAAACGTTTTTAGAAGAACATGAGGACTACGTTCGAACCTCATTAAGTCGAGTGCCTTTGCTCTGGATTTTAAAAAACTTAAAATTACCATCGGCTACGCGTATTATGTTGATATTTTTATGTTCCAAGTCGGTGAGTTAGGAACGACTTGAGGGAAAATTATCTTTATTACCCGGGCAGTACCTTTTGGTATGCCCATATCCCTTGCAAGCGAAGCAGCGAAGATTGACACGTGCGTCGTGGCCCTCATGTCTATTTTTAGACAAATATGAGGCGTTCTGGCTCATTTGCAGAGTGGTTGTTTTGCTGGGGTGCGACTTTACAATGGATGTTGTGGGGGTGTCATTGACACTAGACGAAGAAATCCCACCTACGGGATGTTTTCTTATCGCATCCAACGATTTGAAGTGTGTCGCCAGCACATGCGGTTCTTTAATGCCAGCCGTTTCGACCGCAAATTTAATTTGTTGGTCATCTATACCCCCCATTATCAAGTTGACCTGATCTTCACCCGACAGAGGTAATTTTAATTTATGGATTAATGATAACTTGATAAACACATACTCATAAAGTGTGTGTTTGGTACTAGGTCTGCACTGCATCATAGCCTGCAGAGCTTTATGCAGGTCTCGTTTCGGCCGAAAATTCTCTAATAACATAGCCCGCCACTCAGCCCATGTAAATAATTTCGTTGGCAAACCTCTGTACCAATTTTCCGCCGGACCACGGAGTTTACCTAACGCCAAATGAGAAGTCGTAGCGTCATTCCAATTGTAGAGGGTAGCAAATTCATCAACCGCGTTCAACCACTCACCAACGTCGTCATTCAGAGGGTTAAATTCGGCAATTACATTATTTAAAATGGACGTACTTAAACTTACTTGCTCGTTCCCGGTATGCCTGCGTAGTTTACCTCCCATCCTGTCCATACCTTGAGCAATTGCCTCGGACAGATCCGCCACTGACATTGAAACGGTGGTGGTTCCGCACTCTTCCCCAGAACGACGTCCGTCTAGCGATTGACGCCGTGCTAATGGTGATTGCTCCTCTACCTGTCGCCGTCTATTTCTTGTTGACGACGGCGATCTTGGAGTACTGCGTCGTCCAACGCATCTAGCGTCCTTCTCCTGAGTCGACCGACGCCGACGCTCGCTACGACTACGGCGTCTTCGACGTCCATCGTCATGCTCGTCCATGCTACGTTGACGTGATCGGGAGATTCGTGGCATTTTTTTTTTCAATTAACTATTCACACACTAATTAATACACTAAAACGGACACTACTAAACTGTTCGCGTGGAAGAAATCCCACTTCTGATGTCGGAATACTACTTAATTAAAACACGTATTAAAAATAATAATGCGGTTTATTCGTTGAGGCTAACAAGGGGATGATGTTTGTCACTTCAGCGATAAAAACACAGTGCTCCCGGCTCCAGTACTTCCAGTCCCGTGTCCCATGTTCCCATTTCCGACCCAATACGAACTCGTCCGAGCCATAGCGGTATTTTCATCCCTAATTCCGCTAACAAATTTGAATTTATTTTGCGCTTTCTACGTGATTTGTTTACTAACGAAATACTTAACTTTGAACTATGAATTAATTAGAAATAACGGGAAAACGCAATAATGTACGGATTCTGGTTTCGCCTATGAAATATTAATAAATGTTGGTGCGAATGGTCGGTGCTATGTCCCGTCAAAAACGCTTTATAATTATTAAAAAACTGGTCGTCCCTATTAAAATACTTTAGTGTAAGCAAACTACAGTTTGTACAGATAAATAATTTTCAATAATTTTCAACAATAAACAATGACAATTCATTCGTAGTCTCGTAATTTTCGGATTTTTTTTTTCGAAATAGGAGTATTAAGCGTGGAACCGTTGTGACGGGCTTGGGAGATTTTCAAAATTTAACTTTTGTTAATTTATTATATATAAAACTGTAAAACTCTTGTCGTG